TCTTTTAATGTTGTAGATAAAGTATCCTGCCTAATAATTTCAACAAAATTATATTGTTGTAGAAAAAGTATTTTCTTTTTTTTTTTCCAACTAAAAGAGCACTTTCTTTTCATGATATAAAAAATGTATTTTTTTTCCACAAAATGAGTACTTTCTTTCCTGTTATAGAAAAAGAATTTTCTTTTAATATTGTAGATGGAGATTCTGCGTAATAATTTCAACAAAATGAATATTTTCTAATAGTAATAATAACAACAACAACATACCTAGTATAATCCCACTGGTCGGGTCTGGGGAGGGTAGTGTCTACGCAAACCTTATACCTACCTGGAGAGCTAGAGAGGCTGTTTCCCATAAACCCTCGGCTCAAGAAAAGGTGGTAATGAAGAATAGGGGAGAAGAAGAAGAAGAAGAAGAGGAAAGAGGGGGGAGAAAGAAGGAAGAGGGAGGCAAAAGACGATAAGCAAAGAGGAGAAAAAGTAGCATCAAATAGTAAGTGCTAGGGGTGGGCATCGGTCGGTTCAGTTCGGTTTTGAATATTATCGGTTTTGCCTATCGGTTATCGGTTTATAAATATCATAACCCGATAACCAAACCGATAAGATATTGGTTGTCGGTTATCGTTTAATCGGTTATCGATCATTATCGGTTCGGTTATTGGTTTACTCGATAAGATAAAACAACTAAAACAATTTCGCAATATATAAAACTGTCGAGTTCTCAATTATCTTGAGCCAGAAGTCAAGAAATAGATCAGATTTTCATTGTCTTTGACAACTTTCTGATGCATAAATATAGGATTACAAAGGTGGAATGGAATATGATTGTATTGTTAATAAAATGTGGTCTTGTATCCTTAAGAACAGTTAAACAGAAGTTTACTGCTTAGGATTCTTAATATTCCAAAAAGAGAAACACTTGTTAAAATTATAAGTGGATAATGCAACAGCACCAAATTTATACATTTCTTGTCAAAGCCCATTTCATTTCTACATAAAACACGAATACTCCAAAAACCGTTTAAAGACTAGACAAACGATTAGAACAAGATCTCAAACAATAGCAGCGCACACACACACAGCAACAACCCCCCCCCCCCCCCCTAAAAAAAAAAAAAAATCCAGAGCCAGAATGCTTTCAAACAAACTAAGAAAAAGATGAAGATGAAGCAACCAAAAACTTACACGCCGGCCTGAGTCTTGACGGGCTGACTGGTGAGGGCGTGATGCGACTGACGAGTGACGCCGGCCTGAGTCTTGACGGGATGACTGGTGAATGGTGAGGGCGTGAGCCGTGGTGAGGCGGAGAACTGGTGAGGTTGGGCCGTAGGGGTGCGGCGGAAAAATTGAGAAACTGAGAAAGAGAAACTGACTTACTGAGAATTGAGAAAGAATAGGAAAAACCAATTATGAAACCCTAGTATAGTATGTATATACTTAAGGGTAAACTAGTAAATTAGTTAATTCTTATTGGGTTATCTATTTTTACCCAATAACAAAATTGCAAACCGAGCCCGAACCGATAACCCAATAAATAAAAAATTTAACCCATTACCGAACCGTTAACCCAATAACTCAATGCCGATAACCCAATAAATAATTAACGGTTCGGGTTATCGGTTTTACCCGATATATGCCCACCCCTAGTAAGTGCCAAGGAGCAACGATCCCAGTAGCAATTTTCAAAAATAATGGACGTGGTTGCTAAGTACCAGATACAATAACAAACAAGAAGGAAGTAACTTTCAACCCACAACAAGAACATTACTAGTACTACTGGTAAACCTAAGAGCAACTCACAACTACCTGTCAACTCACCAACTTAATCCTCGACCTCCACACCTTCCTATCTCTAGTCTTGTCCTCGATTAGGTGAAGCACCGACATGTCCTGCCTAATCACCTCTCCCAATACTTCTTTGGCCTACCCCTGCCCTTCCTCAAGCCTGCCATGGCCAACCTCTCACACCTCCTGACCGGAGTATCTATGTCTTTCCTCTTCACATGCTCAAACCATCGCAGCGTCGATTCCCGCAACTTTGCTTCCCGGATGCCACTCCCACCTTGTCCCTAATAACTTTATTTTTTATCTTGTCTTTCCTGGTATGTCCACACATCCATCTCAACATCCTCATTTCTGCTATGCTCATCTTTTGGACATGGGACTTCTTGACAGGCCAACACTCAACTCCATACAACATAGCCGGTCTAACCACCACCCTGTAAAATTTGCCCTTAAGTCTAGGCGATACATGCTTATCACATAAAACCCCCGAAGCTAGCCTCCATCTCATCCAAACCGCTCCATGCGGTGAGTAACATCCTTGTCAATTTCACCGTTGCCTTGGATTATAGACCCAAGATACTTGAAACTATATCTTGTGGGGATGACTTGAGTATCAATCTTTACTTCTACTTCTTCTTCATGCCTCTCATCACTGAAATTGCACTCCAAGTATTCAGTATTCTACCTACTCAACTTGAAACCTTTGGATTCCAACGTCTGTCTCCAAACTTACAACCTAGCGTTAACACCCCCTCGTGTCTCATCAATCAGTACTATTTCATCAGCAAATAACATACACCATGGCACCCTCCCTTGTCTCGTCAATCAGTACTATTTCATCAGCAAATAACATACACCATGGCACCCTCCCTTGTATGTGTCGTGTCAGCACATCCAACGCTAGGGCAAACAAAAAACGGGTTAAGGGTTGATCCCTGAAGCAACCCTATCTCCACAGAGAAATGTTCTGAGTCTCCTCCCGCAGTCCTCACCCGAGTCTTAGCGCCTTCGTACATGTCCTTAATCACCCTAATGTACGCTACCGGGACTCCGCTAACCTCCAAACATCTCCATAGCACCTCCCTCAGGACTTTGTCATAAGCCTTCTCAAGGTCAATGCCATGTGCAAGTCCTTTTTCATTTCCCTATACTGCTCTACCAATCATCTCACAAGGTGAATGGCTTTTGTAGTTGACCGTCTCGACATAAATCCGAACTGGTTCTCAGAGATAGATACGTTTGTCCTCACTCTCTTCTCCAGCACCTTCTCCCATACCTTCATAGTGTGACTCAGCAGCTTGATACCCCTATAGTTGTTGCAGTTCTGGATATCACTTTTGTTTGTGTACAACGGAATCATGAAACTCCACCTCCAATCTTCGGGCATCTTCTTCGTCTTGAAAATGAAGTTAAACAAGCTAGTAAGCCACTCCAAGCCTACCCTACCCACTTCTTTCCAAAATTCCACCGGGGTCTCGTTAGGCCCAATCACCTTACCCCTGCTCATCTTCCGTATTGCCACATCAACCTCCTCACACTTAATACGCCTACAAAACCCAAAATCTCTTCGACTCACTGAGTTCTCCAACTCACCCAGCACGATGTTCCTATCCTCTTCCTCGTTCAAGATCCTATGGAAGTACTCCTGCCATCTACGCCTAATACACGCCTCTTCCACCAATACCTTATCGTCTTTGTCTTCGATGCACCTTAATCGATCCAGGTCCCGAGCCTTCCTCTCCCTAATCTTGGCTAACTTGTACAGCTTCCTATCCTCTCTTTTGCCCCCAAGATCCTCATACAATCTTTCAAAAGCCACAGTCTTAGCCGCCATGACCGCGAGTTTCGCCTCTCTCCTTGCCTTCTTATAACACTCCCTATACGACCTTTGCTCTTCCTCGTCCGTGCTCCCTACTAGCTTTAGATATGTCGCTTTCTTAGCTTGAAACCTTTTCCTTTGTGGCCACTCGAGTAACCCTTCGAGACCCCTAACACCTCCCTAGCAGCTTCCCTAATGCGGTCCGTTGTCATGGTCCACATACTACTCGCGTCCCTAGTGCTCCTCCAGGCCCCCATAGCCAACAGCTTCTCCCCCAACTCCTGAGCCTTTCCCATAGTCAAGGCTACTTGATCTTAGGTTGCCCGTACACCGCTCTCCTCTTCCGTCCAAGTCCATTACCAAGAGCCTATGTTGCGTCGACAGACACTCACTCGGAATATTTTCTTTTAGTGATGTAGAAAAAATATTTTCTTTCATTTTTAATGATGTAGAAAAAGTATTTTTTTTTCCACAAAATGAGTACTTTCTTTTCCGGTTGTAGAAAAAGTATTTTTTTTATTTCAACAGAAAGAATATTTTCTTTCATGTTATAGAAAAATTATTTTCGTTCAATTCAATAAATGAGTACTTTATTTTATTGTGATAATTAAAAAATAGCTCAGTACCCGCCCTCTATTTTATTTGTTATTTTTCTGTTATGATAATGTGCTTCTTCTTTATTTTTAATTTTTATTTCATGTTTGATGATTATTTCTGTCAAACAGCTAGTTTTGTAAGGTTGAAAAGGAGTTTTGGAAAATATTTTCCCTTCTCTTGATATGGAAAATATTTTTGGGAAAATATTATCCTCCTAATGGAGAAAACGAATTCATAAAGAAAATATTTTTCAAATATTTAAACCAACCAAACATGAAAAAATTAAAAAATATTTCCAGCACATGAGTCAGGGTAGATCTTTAAGATTAACCATTTTCATGGGTCAAGGTTGGGCATCACTATGGGTCCATATGGGCTGATGATTTTTTATGAGTTAACTTGGGCTAGCCCAAAACAACCCATTTTCAAAATCATTCTAGCCCAAACCCATTAAAACATGGGCAGGTTGGGCGGATCAAATGAGTTTAAGTTAGTTTTGCCACCCCTAAATTTTACTTCACTTACATAAGATTAAAGATGGGAGGCGGGCAAGCAACGAAAGCTCATTTAGCAGAGTGAGGTGCAAGCACCTACAGTCGAATGAGAAGTTTTTGATTCATCTCATTAGAAGCAGACAGATTAAGCCATCATCAGGTATATAAAATACAGACTACAGAATTCCATGGCTTTCTAAGCACATTAGGCCTAGCTAGAATCAAATAGCGCTACTCTCTATAGTATTTCTTTTGGGAAGGTTGAATTGCAACAAACTAAAGTTAAATAAAAGAAAAAATATAAAATCACAGAAACTCTTGGGCATCGGCAAGATTTTAAAATTTCCAATGTACCCAGAGCTTTAAAAGCTGTATCACACCAATTTACCCCACCATGCTCACCACTGTAAGTAATTTAGCAAAACTGAAAGAATGCAGCATCTTGCTTGTGCCAAGCACCAATTACAACAGTCCAACTACGCCTGTTTCTAATGTCAAAACTAACTTTACAGATAAAGATTGGAGCCAAAAAGGGAAGAAAATGTATGAAAATCCCCTAAAAATCACATTGCTTCAAGAAGCCCTAAACCTACCAAAGAAGGATATATAGGAAAGAAACTCGAAAAATTGACTGAAAAGAGAAGAGTTGATACTGAAAACTAAGGGCTACCAAATGTAATGGAAAATCAATTTGCTTATGCCTGCCTGCCTCAAAACTAAAAGACTGTCACTATTCGTTACAGGAGGATATACTCTTTGCATCCTCAATCCCAAGCAAGAAAAGTGATACCTCATCGTTTTTTTCCCCTAGGAGGGGCATCTCTCATAGATTTACAGTCAACCTGCACAGCGATTGTCTTTTTGGCATTTGCTGGATACTTCCTCCATCTCCAAACTAATCGTAACCCCAAAATTCCAATCAATAATTTCATTTCTTTTCTTTGTGGTTTACAAATGACAGGAACAGCTCCTTAGTAGCTACTCGGCCAGTTAATTTGTGAATGTTGAGGCTGCTGATAGACAGTGGCTGTTGGTCCTACCATATCCGGACCAGCCATCGTCTGTGACTGTTGCATAAGTGGATGAACAGTCTGTGCAGTCACTGGTTGTGCTGGATGATAAAGACCAGCAAGGTTCCCGTGGCCAGGTTGTGCGGGAGTAAAAGCCACTTGACCCTGGGGTAGGTTATAAAAAGAACTTGCTTGCAAGCTGGATAAACCTCGGCCTGGAGTAATCCACACACCTGAGCCCTCACTCTGCAAAAACAAAATTGTTCATATCTGTAAAAGACATAAATAAAGTAAAAAATAAAAGAGATGATAAACACAGCCAAGAGAGAAAAGATCATGGGCTCAGGCCCTACATAACGATGCTATTTCAGAACAATCAACTTTAAACTTGGAAACCTTTATAAGAATTAAGAGGTGGACATAGAATCAAGGTTACACGTTAAATTATCTCAAACGACAACAGTTTTGATACTCGTCTTTGTCACTACTCCAAAACTCAAAGCAACCAGTATACAAAATTATTTACCACATAAGTCAGAAGGATAAATCATAGCAAAAGCTCATTCATAAATTAGATTTAGAAATGGAAGCAAATATCTCAGTTTCAAAGGAGAAGCCTTTCCAGACAGACTGGAGAAACATGCCAGTTCATTTCTCAATGTACACATCCCCACAATCAGCAGGTTGATTCGCTCAAGTGCAAAGGTGCGACTGAAAAAATATATTACTCGACACCCGCACAAAAACAAAGGGATCGTGGAAACTTCCTCAAAAGGACCACCATGTAACACATCTATTTTGCAACAACCTTGAAGAAAGCAAACAAAAATTCAAAATGTTGAAAGAAAAGTATACACAACACTCCAAGGGAACCCCCTTTAGAACCTCCACAAAGGAGGACTGCCATCTAAAGCAAATATATATACACACATGCATAAACTATAATAATACACACGCAAACATCGTATATAGAAACTCCGGAAACTGCAAGAAAGTACATATATATTTATTTTTTCCGAGTGGTCTCGGCGAAGGGGTGTCGGACTGTCACCCTTGGGGCTATGTATACACAACACTCCAAGGGAACCCCCCTTAGAACCTCCACAAAGGAGGACTGCCATCTAAAGCAAATATATATACACACATGCATAAACTATAATAATACACACGCAAACATCGTATATAGAAACTCCGGAAACTGCAAGAAAGTACATATATATTTATTTTTTCCAAGTGGTCTCGGCGAAGGGGTGTCGGACTGTCACCCTTGGGGCTATGTGACTCAGCTACTGCCCCTCCCTCCCCCCCAAATATATTGTACTCCCTCCGTTTCAATTTAGATGAGGTAGTTTGACTCGGCACGGAGTTTAAGGAAAAAAAGACTTTTAAAACTTGTGGTCTTAAAAGCTTAAGGGGTAAAGCTATGTGGGGCCATGACATTTATGTGGTTATAAAAGCTTCTCATTAAGGGTAAAATGGGTAAAATGAAGAATTTAAAGTTGAATTATTTCCAATTGTAGAAATGTGTCATTCTTTCTGGAACGGACTAATAAGCGGACTAATAAGGAAAGTGTGTCATCTAAATTGAAACAAAGGGAGTATCATTTTAGACAATATACAAATGAAAATTTACAATTACCATACTTATCCAAAAGAAAATTTACAATTACCATATTGCATTCGGATTAATTATCATATAATTATCAATTAGAAATTCAGAACTAGTTTCATCAATTCTCAGCTCCAATCAGTTTTAAGCCCATCATCATACTGCTCAAAGCATTTCAAGTTCTCAAGTAATGATTATTTTTACATGGTTTTCTTTCACTTTATTTGGCAAGGTTAGAATGATGCAAATATCTTTTCACTAGGGATAAATCAATATAGACCCTATTACTCATTTCTCTCTCTCCATCCTTTTCGGGATAGCACCCCCTTGCTGCTGAACTCAGGGGATGTTGATCTTTCATCACTACACAATCTCTTTTGTTCACCGTTCGAGATGATGCAAATAATGTCAAGTAAATATTTCAATAGTGAAAAAAATAATATCAACATTGATTTAAACTAAACAAAAGACCAACCTGTTGTTGCCCATTCACGTGGACATTGCTTTCCTTAAATTGAGCAGCAGAAAGATCATCATTAGAAGCAGGGTTTCCAGCTGCTGTAGTTGAACTAGGGTTATAGTTGGCTGTGGAGGATCCATATGGCCCATATGAGCCAGGCACTCCACTGTGAGTTGAGTTGCCCACATTAGCTCCTGGCCTATATTGTGAAAGTGAGTATCTGCCAGCAGCAGCGGATGGTGGAGGTGGATATATGCCACCAGCCTGAGGTTGCTGGGGAAATGCACCATTGCTTAAGAATTGATGGATGGCTGTTGGTGGAACATAATATGGGGAAAAGTAGTGAGCGTATGGAATATAATTTGGAGGATAATGGGGCAGATGCATCCCTGCAGCTTGTCGAAATACAGGGAGAGGTTGCTGAGTTACAGCTGCTGAACTTTGCATAAGCCCGGCAGCTTGAGTTGCAAGTGGTGTTGGAGCCGCTGTAGATAAAACAAGTGTGTTTCCTCCCTGCAAATCATTCTAAATAAATATCAGTAAGTACCTTAGTGTTGAGATTAACTGAAGTTAGTAAGTTCAACATAACAGGTGACCCAAGAAATAAACTATTTTTCTGTGCAAATTATTAACAAATAGATGTGCTATACTTCTGTGGAGAGTTATGATGGCACAAAAATCACCAAAACGTAAATAAAGTTTGTTCCGTCATAAATACAGAAGGGACTGCTAGCACCAAGCACACGATTTTACTGCAGATTGTCAAAAGCTATCTTGAATAGATTTACCCTATACTTGGTGGCTCACTGCAACATCTAAGAAGAACTCATACCATTCGCATGAACCTTCTAGTGAATCGAAAATTTGGTAAAACATCAATATCAAACAGCAAAAGTAGGCATCTCACTACTTATAAAACTTAGAAAGCATTTGCTTAAACATGACTCAGGCTTCTAAGAATGCAATTCCAAAACATTTCATTAATGTACACTACACTATGGAAATTATGTACAGTGTGTGAAAAGGATTGTATAATTCTCTAAAAATATCTATTTCTTATCACATTTTCTTGAACTATACAAGTCATAAGTTTATGTAAACAGTCAACCAACGAGAGACATTGAACTGAACCCTGCTAGAACTGCAACCATGATAATAATTCCGATTTGCACCAATAAGAGCTTTTCACTGGGTTTTTAGCAGAAAAATGAACTCTCCATCTAGGCTAAGCACATCATTAGTAAAGGAAATTAAACAATGGACATGTTAAGAAAGCAGAGAGGAGGAACTAATTACTATACAAGGGAATACAATAGACACAGAAAAACCGTTGATGCGAAGAAGGACAAGGGAAGCAGCAAGAGGTGGGTGGTTGTAGTTCTGTGTGCTTCAAGAGTGAATAACCTGAGCACAAGGGATTGGAATTTCCTGGCAGGAGGACCATAGAGATGCTACAGCAATGATGAGCAGCGTGACTAGGTCACTGAGTTCCTTTTTTTTTTGGGGATAAGTAACAGAGTTTCTACAGTTTATCAGTTTACCATTCCATGGTAGACTCTGGTAATCATCACATTTGGCTATCATTGATCCAAGCTGTACAATAATTGCAACAATAGTCCTGTCTAGAGTACCAACTTTAGGAGGAAAAACAATTCAAAAATGGTTGTAATTTGGTACTTGATGAATCCCCACCCCAGTGACGAACTTTGATCATGATAGATTTTAAGACCAAAAGTCCAATTTATTCCAACTCGTCTAGTCCAACTTTAAGGGAAGAGAAGACAAGGAACCAGAGGAGTGGGAATATAAGTAGGAGTGAGTTGACAAGCATATTCCAATACTCAGTCAAAGGCGTAACTGAGTTTCTCCCACATATATTCTGCAAAGGTATTGTTAAATACCAAATGTAGTGAAGCCGCCTATCATACAATTCCAAACAGAAACATTCATCTTTCTGTCTCTGGGATCATTATTATTTCACTTTACATCCATGCACCATGAAACCCTAAATAAGCTGTCAATTGCGTTACTCCCCCCACCCCCCACCCACCCCAATATATTTTCCTGAATAAGAGTAATATAAACAATAGAACATACTACCTGATAAAGTACTTTCATACCTCTTGAGCAGATTGAGAAGTTTGTGGAGCCACAACTGCAACATTGCCGTTGTACTTGGTAGAAACTCTTGCTGATTGAAAGGGTGAAATGCGGCCATCACCATCAGCACTGGAGCGGTAGAACTGGGCATAGTAGTTTGTTGGGTCAATTGGTTGCTGAACCTAGAGGAAAAAATGAATTGTTTTTAAAAATTCTTGAGTATAAGAACTAAATTTTCTTGAATTGATAATATATTGATTCCGCGTGGTCTCAAACTTTTCTGGATTTGTCAAATCATCCCCAACAACGTTATTTACTGCTGTCAAATATTTCCTACATTCAACATTAATTTAGACCCCACCTTAACTCAATAAAGCATAAGATTCGAGGACCTTGCCACTCACAAGTGAGGTGAAACCAACACTGATGACACAATATGAGTTCATGACAAGGTGTTAATCTAACTATGGATATTTTACTTACTGTACTTGCAAGTTTCCATACCAATTTGATCTACATTGAAGCTTCAAAACCATTAAAATGACAGTACATAGAAAAAGTATATCAAAGAACGCAGGCTTACAACAAAGTTTGGAAGACGAGAAACATCATGAGACTGTGATTCAGAGTTTTCAAAAGGTACGAGCTGACTGCCTAATGTTGGTGGCACAAAACCAAAACTATAGTTGGGGGATGTACGAACAGCTGAATACTGATGGCCTCCTTGCAGAGTCTCTTGCTTAGATTCACTGTACTCAGGGACAGAGGGTGATACATCTTCTGGCTTTGCAGATAAATTCTCCTGCCCACTTGAAGGCGGAGACTGGTCAGAAAAATCTGCGGTGGTTGGTGGATTTTGATCACTGCATTCACTCATAAGAATGAAAAACTTAACATCTTAACATGCTAGAAATGGAAGTATATATCTAACTATCAGAGTCAAGTGTGATATAACAACATTCCATCAAGATCTAAAATACACAGCTAATGGCAACAAGATCATATGCAACAGAAAATAATAGAAATAGGAGAGGCAATTAAAAGATGAAAGAAAAAAGAACACTTTGAATAAGATATTTTAGGTCTCAATCTTCAAGAAGATTTTTCTAAAAGATAGAATTAGAGGATTCTGTCCATGAAATTAATTCTCAAACCTTGTGAAAAGAAATATTTGAAATTCGGGTTTGTTTAAGATTTTGAAGAAATATTTGCAAACAAAAAACGTCCAAAAACTGTTTTTGAAGTTGTGGTTTGAGGGTGTATTTCAAAGTATATTTTTCTAAATAATTAAGATAGCTCTTCTTGTACGCAAAACACACTCACTTCCACAAAATTTTTGTCAAAGAAACTACAAATATCCAAATACGTCTCAGTTTCAATATGGTTGTTCTAAAAGATTATTTCAAAAAAACCCTTTCCAAATGTTGTCCAAACTTCTAAGAAAAGAAGAAAACTAGGTCAGTGCAGAAGATATTTGGAGAAGGCTTGCCTTTGGTTCCAGAAGAACCTAATCTGGAAATGGTTCTGGGTGAAAGTTTTATGTTTGGATTACTGTTAGTTTGGAAGAATTGGTTTCAAGGTCAGATTTTGCTTAGAAAAAGATTGTTAATCAGTTTTTGGTTTCCAAAACCAGATCAAGTTGGTTTCAACTTTTCCCAAACCAAACAACACTTGGTTTTAGTTTTTGGAATGCTTTTTGAATCATTACCAAAACAACACATAGCTGCCAGCTGTCTGAAAAATTGAAGACCGAATAATGAGCACTTGAATCTAAATTGCATCACTAAATTTCGGTAACTAAAATTTTTCAATCTCCAAATAATTGAAAAAATATATTACTTGAATTATATACTGAAACATATTTGAATATCTTGTATAATATTACTGCAAAACTGGACTTTGAAACAAACAATTCCCTCCTTAGTCCTTACCCCCTATAATGCTTAAAATATCTTTTGTAAGATAATAATATACAACTCAAACGGGAGAAACCCCTTCTAACAACGTTGGCATCCACCAACTTATATGCATTTCTCTTCTAATTGCCGTGTAATATAAAACAGCAAAAACAAGACATTCCAGATTTTCCTACATCTATACTTCTAACAGGAGAAATATTACTGATACTACTCATCCTAGTCCTAGATTCCTAAAGCTAAAAGAAGAGCAACTACCAAAAGCTTTCACAAGTCATAAACAGGGGAGAAGAGGAATTGAGGGAAAAGAGACCATGCGATGACGGACCTGGAAAATTGCTCATTTTCTGTTTCTTCAATATCCTCAGAACTTCCAGAAAGTGATGGAGTCTTTTCTTTCTCAGCAGCATTGTAAGGGCTCACACCTAAGCCCAGGCTAGCTTCAAAACTTCCAAAACAGAACCCAAGTTTTTCAGCCTCAGGCACATGAAGGTGGTTAGGGATAACAACATGCTGAATCTCTGAAATGTGTGATTTTTCTAGCTTCTGCTGCAGTTCCAAAGTCCCTTCCTTTGATTCAACACTGACAGACGTAGGCTGCGGTTGTGTATCGACTTCAGCAGAAACTGTAGAAAGATCAGATGAACTAGCAGATATAGCTTTACCCTGAGCAATATTATTGTGTGTAGGCTTTGGCTTCCATTCCTTACCAGGACCAGCTGCAGTGAAATAAAGAAGACAGGTGTTTAGCTTCAGCATGACAGTATGAATGAATTGCAAGTAAGAGACCCTAATTGCTACAATTCCACTGAAATCAAATTTAACAAACAGCAACAGTATCATAACACTCTAAAGCCGCAAACAATGGAGTTATTGAGTCAACCGGAGACCAAGAGTAGTCAACATCTGGGTATGACATTTTTGGGTTTCCTTATTCCAGAAAAACAAAGGAATAAGTTTAAACAGACACTTGTACAGTAAACCAGCAGATATAGCATGGACCAGGTACATGACTTCACTAGCAACAACCACCATTCTGTTTTGGAAAATTAAAGATTACTGGTACACTAAGACCCCCAAGTAGGACTATAGACACAAGGAGGAGATGCAAATAGAAAATGCAGATATATGAGAAATTTAGAAGAGAATCACAATTGAAAATGAGAATAAGAGATGATCACCAACTGGAAAAAACCAATCACTCAGCACTAGAAAAAAATCGATATGAAAAGGTTCAAAACTTCTTACCAAATACAAAAAGGTAAAGGTACAAACCGAAAAATGCAGATAAATGAGAAATTGAGAAGAAAATCGCAATTGCAAATGAGAATAGGAGATGACCTTTTTATCTCTCAAGTTGGACCAACAAAAACACCAACTGGCAAAAAAAAGATCACTCTCAGCTCTAGAAAAAAAATCAATATGAAAAGGATCAAACTTCTCACTAAAAACAAAAGGAGAAGGTACAGAAAGCATTGAGCACATAATTAGAGGGCAAAAATGGAGTTCTTCAATCATCAAGTAAGAACCATTATTAACAATTATAGTAGCAATATCAATTAAAAGAGTCTTTCATGGAGAGGGAGGGGGAAAGAACAATATACTAATGTGTAGAGTAGTCAACTTGTAAAGTAAAGTACTATACTTTTTTGTGGGCCAACCAGTGGACGGTTGTTGTAATTAGATGAAGGCCTACTAAGAGAAGCAGCACCCTGAGCCAATGAAGCACATTGTGAGGAATCTGGAAGCTGATTCTTTCCAGGCCCCTGGAATTTGCTTGACATTTTTACTTGCACAGTCGAATTTCTAGAGTCAGAAACGGCTATACAGCATAGGCAGAAACAAATACATAAGCTTCATTAACTGGACGAGAAATAAGTATGTCTTCCTAAAAACCAAACAATGACAATCAAGTTCTCAGACAAATCTTCACAGGCTTACCAGTGGTTGCCTTGCTCCCGATCGAGTTGGTAGGGACATGATCAGATGACACATGCTGGCCACCAACTTCCCTTCTAATTGTGCCTACTGCACCAGGGGGTCGTGAATCATGAGATGGCAAAAGAACAGGATCTGATGCTGAAAAATAAGCTCCTGACGAAGGTGGTGAAGACAAGGAGGTTGAAAAGTTGCTGGAGTTAGGCATCTTCTGTCCAAGTGTATCCCTGATTCCTACGGACACTCTGGGGCTTTTGCTCGCACCATGACTTGGAGTGTGCAGTGGTTCCTCCGACTTGACAGAGCCAGCACCTGCAGTGGCTTCAGATTGCTTAATCCCTCTGCCTGCTGATGCATGGGCATCATGTACAACACTATTACTCCCAAAAGCTACAGCACCCGGCCCATTGGCTCTGGAACTTGATGAGCTGCAAAAGAGCCAAAAAGGTTAGGTCACAGAAATATTCAAACTACATATAGGAAACAAAAACCATATTTTGTAATCTGAAGGGGTTTAACAGTGGCAATTCAAGGACCACACATATGCTGTAATGCACAGACAGAGTAAAATCCAAAAACATCAATAACACCTTGAAGAATTCTTCGCCTCAATAGTTGGTACGGAGGATGGCTTGACACTCTTGTCAGAAACTTGACTGGCTCCATTTTCCTTATCAGGTGCAGAGTTCCTTCGACCACCAGCATCTAACCAAACACATACACATCAATTATGAGTCGATAGGAAAAGAGGGGCTCATAAGACTCAATCTGAAAGATATAGTGAAAACTCTCCCAAGGTAAAGGAGAAGGTCTCAGTAAGTTATGTTAATTGTTCAAAGCCTACTCGCTGCCAAAAAGGCAGAATGTCAGTCCTCTTTGTTACCTTTTGACCAGTGCAACTTAAAAAAGTTAAAAGTGAGAATCAGTTATAATTTGCAGCAACTTATAATGTGCTTAAATATATCAGGCAAACTGTGTAAAACTGTCTGAGATTGTTGATTAGAAGCGGCACCAAGATCACAATAACATAAAGTGGTATTAATTTGGATTCTTAGAGATGCTTTTGTCATTTTGCACAAAGCGTGAACGAAATAAAAAAGGAAAGCAGGTCAGCAATTTAAAGAGCACACAAGAATCATGTTATCACAAGAATGACAAATATGAAATCACAGGCAGCAAAGAGATCACAAATACAGAAAAATAACAACAAAATGGATGTTTACCAAGCGAAACATGGCGAGAAGTGAAGTTTCCCCGACTCCCCTTGTTTCCCCTTCCCTGCATAGCTGGTTTCCACTTTGGCTCAGCAGACTCCTTGTTCAAATTCTGCACGAAGGCAAATCAAGTTGTAACAATTCAGGACCAGCATGTAAAAGGCCGAGGAAGCATGTCATACTAACACTCACATTTATTCGGTCGTTAAGAGAGAACATGTGAAGAAATTATAGCATCGTGCTGATATGAAAATTGAACTATAACATGGAATTCTACAGGAAAAGAAACTCATTTGACATTCATGGGGTCCACAAGAGCAAAAAATGAACTAATACACACCAAGGTGCTCATGCCTACTTGCACATTCCGGATTTTATTGCATTAATCAGGTTTGTTATACCAAGTAGACATCCTCTGCACCATAAAATACATTATTTTTTGCACATCAGCCAGCTAAGTCGCAACTTAGATGACAGTGGGTAATAGCTTAAGCATTCACACATACAGAACAGCATCATCTTAGCAAATAGGTTTAATTGAGATGGTATGTTACATTCTTTTTAGCGTAGGGCAATAATTGCTCCACCACCCTAGGTTCAATTTTGATCCATGAATCTGCATCAGCTAATATATCACTTGTCAATATGTATGTTAACCTCTTCGGACGCCTAGAATCAGCTGAGGCCTTAATTAATGAATCCCCCACCCAGTGTTGTAAAAAGCGTGCGCTTCTCGCTTAAAGCACTGAAGCGACGCGAGGCTAGCTCGCTTTTCTGCCATAAAAGCGACTCACATGAAAAAAGCGCAAGCTTTACCCTGTTAAGCGAGAAGCGCAGCGATCCAAAAAGCGCAAAAAAGCGCGGTTAAGCATCTGTTAGGGTTTTTAAAAAAAAAAACTTGGCAAAAACTTAACGCAAACAAACACTTCTTCTCCAAGCGACTGCTGCTCCAACGACTGCTTCAGTGCTTCTTCTCTGTAAGTTTCTTCTTCTCTCTTCTTCTTCTCTCCTTCTCTTCTTCTTCTTCTTCTTCTTCTTCTTCTTCTTCTTCTTCTTCTCTTCCTCTGATTTTCTTCAGTTCCTGTTTGACTCCTTTACTCTTCTTTTTTCTGTGCGGTTGTGCCCTAATTTCTGCTCTGTTCTTTCTATGCTCTGTTTTTCTCTTCTTCTTTCTATGTTTTTCACTTTTTATAGCTCTGTTTTTGTGCCCTAATCTATGCTCTGTTTTTCTGGTTTGTATTTCTCTGTTTTTCTGTTCAGACTTTTCTGGTTCGAAAAAAAAGTTAACTGTTCTGTTCTTTTTTTTTTTTTTGTGGTTGTTAATTGTAGTAAATTCAATCTTATTCACTATCTAGTTTTAGTATCTATTATTTGCTTCTTGATTCAAGAATTGAAACATTTGCTTAATATGTTATTTTTACTGAGTTCTTAGCCATTTATCTATGCCTATTTTATTTTTTTTATTTATGTGTTAAATTGCGCTTCACATGAAAAAAGCGCGCGCTTCGCTTCGCGCTTCTCGCTTCGGTGAAGCGAGGCCTCGTCGCTTTTTTGCGCTTAACGCTTTCCAAAACACTGCCCCCACCCAGAAAACATAAATAAATTAATGGGGGAAAATTAACCTCTAAACCACTTTTATGAGAAATTTACAGGCATATCAGGTCAGCATTACGTTATGCCCTATGGGTCTTTGTGGAGAGTGTTTGTAAGCATGCAAAGTAGTAACTAACCATACCTCTCTTCTTCTGTCGCGTTTCCTTTTTACTTCATGGAATGTATCTGTAAATAACCCCTCAAATTAGATGAGTAAAGAGAAAACCAATTATATATTTCCATATCTAGGAAGGAAAGGTAACAACAACAAAAGTCTAGCTGGGGCAGTATGTGTAGCTTTAAAAAGAACCACTCGCAGAGAACATCAAAATACAGAACACACAAAACAAGACCAAACTATACTTTTTTTTTTTACGAGAAGGCTTGCAAATTTCTAAGTAGACTTCTTACCTTGAAACCCATAGGTTACTAAGTGCATTAAATTATTAAAAAGTCAGCAAGACAAGATAATGGAGCAAGCAAAATTTTCTGCTCCTATATTTTGAAGGTTTGGATTTCTATGAAAGAATGCGTTGGATCTAACAGTCATAAATGTAGTAAAGAAAACAAGAAAGAAGAACAGTTGACCCTCTTAATTGCTTAGTTACTATTAAATACAAAATTCATCGACAACTCCGCCGTGCACCAAATAGAGGATGCAGAGTGTGGCTAAACCTTCTCTATAACAAAATATAACTGCAAAATGTTATCTTTGAACAAAAAATGTAGCTCAAAATGTTATCAGCACCAACCGGCTTACTTTTTTCTCCCTTTTTTTTACATGTAGTACAGACCAACTATATGAATTCTTTGTGCCCTTTCTGCTATAAAAATTTTGTCTTTGACACAAATCAAGGGTTCTCCAAAACTAGAGGTTCTCTCAATGTAATCGGCATAAAAAAATTCTTTTGGGAGGGATTCACCAACCGGCATAAAAAAGAGAGGGATTCCTGAAAACTTGCATAGAGTACCAAAACAAATCAAAAGGACCATGTTTTTACACACACACACACACACACACACACACACATATATATATATATATATATATATATATATATATATATATATATATATATATGCTCAAAACAATTTTAACAGCCTGATAAAGTCCATCATTGAAACCCAATTCAGAACAGACCCAATTCAGTATGAGACGCATGCAAATAAGGAAATAAAAGAAGAAAGACATCAAAAATAAAGGCCAATATTCAGGAGAACAAATAGAATAAAAATGTCACCAAAACTCACTGTATAGAGTAATCAAGACAGAAAAGGAATCATAAAAAAAACAAAAAGGAAGATCAAACATCATATATACATAGCTAAAAATATGTGTGTATAGAGAAGCATATATTTATCTGACCCTGAAAGAGGAGTTTTTGGGCAGTCTCATTGGGATCCATAGAGCATTCTTTGAGCATTGCATATATCTCATCCTCACTATGATTCCCGGTGATCTCTTTTATATTCTGAATCGTTTTCCGGACACTGCTCGGAATTGAAACCCTAGCCCCTCCAACAACAACTCCACTACTGTTGCTGCTACTCATCTCACCACCCCTCCCCAACCACTTACCCCACAAACAATTTTCTTTCTATATATATGTTTGTACCTCTTCTATATCTATCTATATATATTTTACTGTATCTCTATATGAGGGAGAGAGAGAGAGAGAGAGAGAGAAAAAGAGAGAGAGAAAGAGGGAGGGAGGAGAGAAAGAGGGAAAAGAGAGTAATTGTATTTGGTGAAGAAAGAGAAGACTTAGGAGAAGGGTTTTGAATATGAATTTCACTCTTTCACTATTTAATTGTTTTATTTTGTTTATTGTAGAACTGTCCACTGTGGAACAGGGGTGCTTTCCTTTTTTCCGTCTTTTAATTTTTTTTTCCCTTCTAAGAGTTTTTATTTGTTTTTACTTTTTCGTTTGGAAAAAGGTGGACCCCTTAATTAACATAGAGAAGATAAACAGAGAAATTGAATCATATTGCTAAATAATATAATGTGGTATGTAATTGCAATTATTAGGTAATAACTAGTGGTAAGTACCCAGAGACCTTAACAACTTGTTTGGATGATTGTTAACTATGGTATCGTATCGTATTGTTACATTAAATACGATATTTGTTTTGATTGTTATTTAAATTTTATTGTATCGTTAAGTCCATTACGTAACGACGAAATGTGCCACTTTATGTAATGACCGATTAAATACGATGTTCGTTTTGATTGTTACTTAAATTTTATTATATCGTATCGTTAAGTCCGTCGTTACGTAACGACGAAATGTGCCACTTTATGTAACGACCGATTTGGTGTGCCATGTCGTTACCTTGTCTTTTTCTCTCAATCTCACCCTTCATCATAATTAAATAATTTTATTTTATCATTTATCCTATATTTTCATATAATAATTTTATCCTGTTTTATAATTTTTATTTATAATATTGCAAGTTTATTCTTTATATTGCTTGTGCGTGATATCTTGAAACGACGTCAAACGATATAATCTATCCAAATATTATATTCATCAAATAGTACAATACAATACAATACATTATGAAACGATACGTAACAACGTAACCATCCAAACAAGCTGTAAGTTTTGAGTTTTAGGGAGAGATTCATCTTTGATAAAAAAAATATTTTACTCCTAAAGTGAAATTCTCAAATTAATCGGATCCAAAATGAATATTGAATATCAAATAAGAAAAAATACTGAATAACTATAAGTTCGAGTAAAAAGATCTATGGACAGTTCACTACTTATTTGTTATTACATTTTCTTCAATGTTGCAATTATTAGATTTATTCTTTTAGTTTAAACTTTTTAGTTAGCTTTACTAGTTTTTTCTCAAATCTTATTTTTGTCCTTTACTGGTTGGGTGACTAATATGTCATAATTCGGTTAGCTGATCACGCACTGCTAACATAGTGTAGTCAAATTATATACTTCACCTACATTAAACATGTGAATTCTTGTCTTTTGTGATTTTTATTAAAAAAATCAAGTAAAGTGAATGAAATGAAAAATCAACATCATAAGCATTATCTATTGCTATGTGTGAAGAAAGATTTGTAATGATCAGAAACATTGAAAAAAAATAAGTATTCAATAGTTGTCATATAATTTTATAATTAGATTATGTGACAACTCGAATCAAATGTAAATTTAGATAATCGAAATGTTATTCTTAATATTTAGTTTTTATAGAACTACCAAATAAGTAGGTGAAAAACAATTAGATTCATATTTTCATATCTCATTCAATCGACTAGAAAAAATTTCCTTTTCTAAAAAAAACTTTTAAAATTTATTTTCAAAATCAATGGACCCATTAATAAACAAAAGGGAAAAAGTCAAAATTAATTTGGTGACTAAAAGATCACCATCATAGTTTGCATAGCAGTAACATAATTTAGCTCTACTGATCCACTTTAGTCAAATTGAATTTCTTTCACTATTTGCTCTTTTAAAGTTGAAATTGTGGTTCTAAATTTTTTGTTAGAGAATAATTAAATAGTTTACATGTTCTTGCATGTATAATACTTGGAGCTTTGTGGGGGCAAGTAGGTGTCCACATGGGTCCCACTTGGCAAGGTACTTAGGTGGATGGATTGCTTAGATGGCATGATCAAATATTGTCTCACCTTTTTTATCATAATTTTCAAAAGTTCATTAAAAGGAAAATTCGAAAAAGAAGAAAAAGAACAAAGATGCAGATTGGAATCTGAGTGCTAATCTGCAAATGGAGTAGCACACAATGTGCATGGATCTGTACACTTTTTTCCTCATTCATGTAATGGTGCAACTTTTGCATATTCAATGTGAGAATTCCTATAATTTTCAATCAAGATATCTTTGAGAACACTTGTTAAAAATGTATTATTTTCAAACTAAACATATGGTATTAAACAATTTCTTTTAGTACACACGCACTTCACTCCGGAAAATATAAGTTGATTTTAATAAAAATTGACTAGGTACGTCACTTACGAAAATTGCTTAGCGTTGTGTATCGAATTTCACCTTAAAAAAATATTTTAAGTAAACTAGGGAAAGAAAAAGAATCACAAAAGCTGGTAAGCTAAAATGTTTAAATGGCTATAACGATAATGCATAATTCCTATATTTGTGTTATTATTAAAAAAGTTAACTAATTAATTAAAAAACTAATAACATATTAGATTAAGTGAAAATTAAGTTGATAAGCATCACCTATCAAATGTAACAATCTGATAGCAAACAAAAAAAAAAGGACGAATAATGAATATTCAACAGCTGTCATAGTTAGATTATACGACAACTCGAAACAAATGAAAATTTAGATTGTCAAGATATAGTTCTTGAAATTAAATTTTTATTATACTACCAAATAATTATGTGAAAAAGAGTCTAAATAATTACACTGCGAGGTACTAGTTACTAGGGGATATTGCAAACCCCCTAAGTCAGACAAGTTTTATCCCAAAGTGTTAATATTACAAGCCAAAATATTTCTAGTTACTTCAGTTCGTAGGATGTCTACCTAAAATAATTCATTTGACACCGGTGGAACCGGTAAGCATTGTTGTTCTTCCCAAAAACCTTATTTTTGCTCCTTCCTTTACCAATGCATCAGCCACCCTATTTTGTTCCCTATAGTTGTGCTTCACTACTACTCTGGCTATCCCTTGGATCAACAACCTGCATTCACATATGATAGAATCATAAGTTATATTCCCTGTGATTAACATTTTTGTTACTTCTGATGAATATGTGGCTACTTCTAGTGGTGTTAAGCCATTTTGTTATGCAATTTGGAGTCCCTTAAGTAATGTAGTCAGTTCCGCAAAGGTGTTAGGTGGTGTGTGGTATGTTCTCCAAATACCCAAGGATCCAATCACTATTGTGTGTCCTAAACACCCCACTAATTCACCATATTCCTTGGGTTACTCATAGTTGCCCCATCATTATTAAGCTTGTAATGACCCCTTAGGGGAGGCTCCCACTTGACCTTGATAGGGATTGTCTCCTTAATGCTTCCTGAGCCTGCTATTGTGTAGATTACGGTGATTTTAGCAATGGTGTACACAGTAAAGATGACATCTTTCCTATTGTTGAAAAGGCTATTATTCCTAGTCCATGATATGTTCCAAAAGCAGAATGCAAGTATGACTTCCCAGGAGATAATATTATTAAATGGCATTTTCCTTAGCTTGTTCCATGTAGTGAGCCAGAGTTGGGCTGTGAAGGTTGGGTTTATATGTTGGCTTTCAACTAAGCTTTTTGAGATAAGGTCATGTTAGAACTGGATGGCATTTGGGCGGTCAAAGAAGATGTGGTTGGTGGTTTCCGGAATTGTGGAGTAGAAGCAACATGTAGAGTTACAGTTACTCCAATTATATGCAGGAAGGCTCCTATTGGGTGACTTTTTTGAGCAAGCAGCCAGATGAAGGTTTTTATTTTATTGGGAACCTTTAACCTCCATATCCAACTAAAGTTATCCCCTCTCCATTCTTTAGAGGCTTACTTTTATCGCTAGAAAAAAGAATAGGATGATTTAGTAGTAAAGGAACCATTATGTGTCAGTCCCCAAATTAGCATGTCTTCCTTGCTAGAGTGTGCAGACATAAAGATGAATTTGATTAAGTTTGTGATATTTTAAAGGAGATTCAGGGAGATGGAAGATGTATCCCATTTCCCCAAGTTGTAGATAGCATCCACTTTGGCATTAAGGTTGGATTAGGGGACCTTCAATAATGTCCCTTTATGGCTGGATTGTTGGGAATCCAAGCATCATCAAGGAAGCTCACTCTGTTTCCTTTATGAACCACCCATCCGATGGCCTTTCCACATGTATCACAACCTTTGAGGATACATTGCCAGATTGGAGGTTTTAGTTTTTTTGGAGTATGGTTCCAGTTACAGTGTATGGAGATTAGAACTCTTACCCACATACTAAAGGTGTTTTGGAAAATTCTCTGAGCAAGGCCAGCATGGGAGGTCCTATTCTTGCATTCCACTTTTTATAAACCCAGCCCCCCCCCCCCATGGGATTTCTGATTAGTTATTCTATCCCATTTGACCAGGTGCATTTTCTTCTTATTTGGAGTAGTACCCCAAATAAAGTTCTTTTGGCTTCTATCTATTTACTTGGTTGTTTTGGTAGGTAGCTTGATGAATAGCATGACATGGCTTGGTATACCACTAAGGTATGTTTTGGCCAGAGTTACCCTTCTAGTCATGTTTAGACAATTTATTTTCCAACCAGATACCTTTGATTGCATATTGTCAATTATGAACTGAAATCACTATTGGAAGTTCTCTTCTGGAACATTGGAAAGCCCAGGTATTTACCAAAGCAGGTTGTAGCTTGAATGGAAAATACACTTGTAAGATTCTCCATGGTGTCAGGTTTGCAGTTAGAGGAGAAGAGCACCCCTAGACTTGGTAAGGTTGACTTTTTGCCCAGATGCTTCATTAAAGGACTGCAGAATTGTGGTGATTGTGTTGTAGTTTCTGGTGTTTGCCTTTGCAAACATGGTCAGGTCATCAGCAAAGAAGAGATGTGATATCTTGGGGGCCAGACCTACTGATGCTGATTGGAAGTCATTGCTTATCATAAACAGACCTGTCAATTAGCCTAGAGAGTCTCTCCATGCACATGATGAACTG